TTAAAAATTATTACGAATTGCTCGCAGTGAAGTGGAAGGACAATGGGATGTTTTTGTCCTGTCTTCCATTCATGTAGACATGACCATCCAAAATTCCACGGCAGCTGGTGTAGTTGAGAAGCCCCTCTGTGTCCCTATAACCTTAACATGGGAGGGGTGGACTTCAATGACCAGATGATGAGGCCCTACTTAGTTTCTTATAAAGCCAGACACTGGTACAAAAAAGTGTCTGTATATTTATTTTCATTTGGCTCTGTACAACGCTTTTTGTGCTTTACAAAGAAACTGGGTGAAGTGGATTCTTCCTAAAATTACAGGCAGAGATCATCATGACCATTTTGTATCCACAAGCTGCAGTGGCCCAAACCCCAACCCAGCTGCAGCACCGATCTGTTTTTTTTTTACAGCAACAGGGTGTGCTTCAGAATATACGTCAGTGTGTGTAGCGCTTCTGGGTGAGATTTTTCATCAGCAGTTTAAAAAAAGAACATATATGCCCAAGCATGGGGGCCTGGGGTGGTAAGTGGGTGGAACGTTCCTAGGCTTCTGCATATATTTAAAAAATACTTTTTTGGGAGAGATTTATTCATCTATCGGTGTGAATAGAGGAATCGGTTCTTTTTTTCCGTTCAGCCAATGAACGAACATTTCATGTATGCCCAACATTAGAAATGAGTCGATGCATAGCAGTATATTCTAATGGTGGGAATACCACACACTTTTTCTGGATGAGATTTCTTCTCTTTTTTTCATTCAGCCCATAGTCTGCATAAAAAAAAGAACATAACATATATGCCCAACAAGGGCCAGCGACGTACTGGTACATCACTGAACTTTGAGTGGTTATACCAGGATGATGCCTGCAGCTGCAGGCATCATCTTCTTGGTATTGTTTTTTTTTTTTTTTTTTTTTCAGCCAGCAATCAGCTTTCATGTAAAAGCAATCCTGGTGGCTAATTAGCTGCAGGGTTACTTTTACAAGAGATACTACTGCTCCCCCCACCCCACTGCCTTCCACAGTTTTCTACCTGAGAAGGCAGCAGGCATTTCTGCGAGCTGACCATAGAACCGATTGGAGACCAAGAATGTGCTAATCATCTCTATAGTCAAAGAAACTGGAAGCTACGAGTGTTTCATCACTTCGGTTTCTCCGGATATAAACAGCGCCATTTTTTAATGGGGAAAGCATCTGATCACACTGATCTTGGTGACATCAGATGATTTAAGAGTAGAGGAGATATCTAGAGTCTAATAGACACCAGATATCTCAGAAAATAATACTTGTCACTGTCTATTGCTATCACAGGGGATATTTACATTCCCTGTGACAACAAAAGTGATAAAAAAAATAAATAAAAGTGACAGTGTAAAAATAAAAAAACACATGTGGTATCACCATACTCAGGAGAAGTAGCAGAATTTAATTTGGGGTGTAATTCCAAATATACCCATACCATTTAAATGACAACTTTGTGTAAAAAAAATAAAATTGCCATTTTCCGAAAACTTGTGTAAAAAAAAATACATCTTCTATGGACCCAATATGGCTCTCAGCAAATAGCTTAGGGTTTCTACTTTCCTCAATAAATGTGATAGGCAGTCAAAAAGCTGTATAAATTACAGTATCTATACCATAGTTTGTAGATGCTATAACATTCACATAAACTAATATACACTTATTGAGATTTCTTTTACCAAAGACATGTGGAAAAATACATTTTGGACTAAATTTACGATGAAATTTGAGTTTATTGGATATTTGTTTATAACAGAAATTAGAAAATATTGTTTTTTTTCCCACATTTTTCAGTCTTTCTGTTTATAGCGCAAACAATAAAAACCCAGATGTGATCAAATACCACCAAAAGAGAGCTCTATTTGTGGAAAAAATGACATAAATTGCATTTATGGACAGCATTGCATAACCGCACAATTGTCAGTTAAACTAGCGCAGCACCGTGTAGCAAAAAATGGCATAAATTCCAGTATCTATACCATAGTTTGTAGACACTATTACTTTCACATAAACCAATTAATATACACTTATTTGGATTTTTTATTACCAAAGAAATATAGCAAAATACATTGTGGCCTGAATTCATGATGAAATTTGAGTTTATTGGATATTTTTTATAACAGAAATGAGAAAATATTGTTTTTTTTTTCAAAATTTTCAGTCTTTTTTTGTTTAGAGCTCAAAAAATAAAAAACCCAGAGGTGATCAAATACCACCAAAAGAAAGCTCTATTTGTGTGAAAAAAGGACATACATTGCATGACTGCATAATTACCAGATGAAACAGCACAGTGCTGAATAGCAAAATATGACCTGGTCAGGAAGGGGGGGTAAAAATCTTTTGGCGGGCAAGTGGTTCATTTTGTATCTGTGGCTTTATGTAATAAAGTACTAGACTACGGTTCCCCTTGTTTACTCTGGTTTTTGAGCTTTAACATCACAGCTGCTTGTCTGTCTGTTTTTTCCCTGGTGGGCAGAGGAGTAGAAGAGAGACCGGTAGATCTGTCATAAGCACAAGCTGGGAGATTACCATTCTGTTTAGTCAGCCTCATTTTGCTGCTATATCTTTGCAGCCATTCTTTCTGGTGTGTGTGGGACTCATTTGGTAGTTGGTGGATATCACAAAATTGAAAGATTTCTATTCATAATTGGATGATCATGGCGGATGTCACTAGTTTATTGGATATATTTACGTGAAGAACTTTGACACCAAGAGTTATAATTTATGACACTTTTTTGTGAGTTAATTTTATTTTTAATAGCACAATTTCATTGCATTGGTGTTTGTTGATTTGATAACATTTTGATTATACTGCAGGAGCTGCAATTTTTTTTTTTAATATAAATATGTTTTCACATGTGCATTTACAATTTTTTAAATAGTTATACTACAATAAAAAGAATAAAAAAGACATAAAAAATGTATAAGCAGTAAAAAATGTATTTAAAAAATAGTAAGAGCAGGGAAAAGTACTTTATAAGGGATACTTATGTATAATAACATTTTAATAAAGGATGAAATTGGAAAGATTTTTATTTAGAATCAAAATTATTTTTTTCTACTGTCAGGGATTCTTTAGCAGCTCTTTAGCTGTATTCGTGTAGCTTGCTATACAGCAGATTGGATTGAGCTAAGAAGGAAAAGTACACTGGGGGGGCAAGTATGAAGTATGCTCTTGGACTTTAACTGGTTAAATGAACCCTCCACTGAAAGGAAACTGGGTACTGACCTTGCTGACCTGTTTTAGAAAATGCTACTTTCTTGGTACTGATGCTAATCTTCTGTCTTCAATATATACTGAGCCACTGATGTGATACATGATCTGATACATGCTGAACTATGTTTTTTTTTATCAGGCTACAGCAATCATGCAGATTAGGAGTTCTGACTTCATTTCTTGCATGCATAGTCCAGGCCATTGACCAAGAAAAAACTGAAGATGATAGATCAGCACGACAGCTGAGCACCTAGCACGTTCAGAAGTTAGTAGTGGCATTCTACAGGTTTCTGACAGCACAGGTTTCCTTTAAGGATGGAAGTAAGTATATTAAAAAAAAAAAACAAAGTTTTGATATTGTTTTAATTGGCTGCCATCTCTTTTCAACAGTCAGCACAGGGTGGGACTTCGCACCATTTGCAGTTACTGGGAATAAAGCATTTTCCAATTAATTAGCAAAATTTTCTATGATTATGTTCCTAACTAACGTCTGTATTTGTGTGTCTTGCAAAAATGCCAGCTCAAACATTGCTTATATGCTAATTGTAACAGTGAAAGTTTCTGAATCCAGTGATGAGTCTTCAAGGTCCCTACCAAGCCATACGTTTCTGCAAATTGCAAATTAGTCTAGCAGCATTTTATTGATTTGTTAGGTTGAAATATTTTGAAAGAAAAAAAAAAAATAATCAGCAGTTATATCTTTTCCATCTAGTTTACGTCAGTAAACTAAAGCAAGCTGTAAGATAATTAGACTAAGAGAGAAACAGTAAGCAAAGAATGTAATCTAAAAATGAAAAAAAAAAATGAAAAGGGAAGGCATTATACTTCGAAGACATTAATGCTGTCAATGTTTATAATTGTTCCAACAAGGGATATTTTTCATCAAGTAGGAGAAGTGATTGATACATAACCTTAGGATTGGCAAATCTCCTTCATTGTGGATTTGATCATTTTCAGACCTTAATCTAGCCTTCTCACTTCTTTATGGTTTAGCAGCCTTTCCATTTCTCATTTACATATAAACTACAATCATACTGAATATTAGGTGGTCCTTTTGGATTTGGATATTGGATTTTTACATTTATTAGATGCTCCTATGGAAAATATTCTCTATATTAGTTTGTATCCCTGTCCCAGAAAATGGTGTTATTCTCTTTTAGCTGGCATATCAATCTGATCCAAATACCTGAATATTGTTATGATTATGCCAGAATAATTGGACCTGGGAATTCTGGTAGCTACATTTCACCAAGGAGTGCCCCAAAAAAATAAGAATCTATCATATGGTTCAACCTGTCAGCATCCTGAAATAGCAGTTTTGAGTGGAACTTGGCCAGAAAAACTATGCAGATCAGGCATTTTATTATTATTATTATTATTATTATAGTTATTACTAGAGATGAGCGAATCGAACATGGCGAAGTGGAATTCGTTTCGAAGATTAGGAAAAATTTGATTCGCGCCGAATCCGAAAATTAGCAAACTTCGGATGCACGAATCGAATTTTCCCAAAAATGGCGGCGACATGTGTGGCGACGGAGCGGGGATCTCTGGGAAGGCGCGCAGACAAGGCGCGCTGACCCATAATGCATTCATTCATGACATGTGATCGCATTAGCCAATCAGCAGCCAGCCAGCCAGCACTGTGTAATGGTGGAGCTATAAATCGCGGCCATCTTAGAATTCTCCATTAGCCTCCGGTCTCAAGAGAGACAGACCTGTCTGTATTAGGGACAGAGTTAGGGCCACAGAGACTTTAGGGCCACAGAATTGTTACTGAGGGACACAGAATCGTTACTCAGGGACACAGAATCGTTACTCAGGGACACAGAATTGTTACTCAGGGACACAGAATTGTTACTCAGGGACACAGAATCGTTACTGAGGGACACAGAATCGTTACTGAGGGACACAGAATCGTTACTCAGGGACACAGAATCGTTACTCAGGGGACACAGAATTGTTACTCAGGGACACAGAATTGTTACTCAGGGACACAGAATTGTTACTCGGGGGACACAGAATCGTTACTCAGGGACACAGAATTGTTACTCAGGGGACACAGAATCGTTACAGGGACACAGAATCGTTACTCGGGGACACAGAATTGTTACTCAGGGACACAGAATCGTTACTCGGGGACACAGAATTGTTACTCAGGGACACAGAATCGTTACTTTCTGCTTCACAACCACTATTGAATTAAAGAGTATGTCAGACAACACGCAGAGGAGTGGCAGAGGAGGCAATGTTTCAGGAGCGAGCAGACGTGGCAGCAGAAGGGGTCGAGGCAGCACTATTCGCAGCCAGAGGCCAGTGCTCCCGGTGTCATCCAGCGGTCGTGTCTCCACCGACAACCCTGCCGTCATCGATTGGTTGACTCGGTCGTCTTCCTCTTCCCAGGTCACCTCTGACACCTACAGCCAACGGTCGGTGGGTACGTCAGACACAACCGTTAGTTGGCATGGCCCGGGAGCAAGCCCACTGAAATCACGTGTCCTCTACCTGCCCCTGTCCTTTGGTGTTCCCTCACCAAGCGAAGTATCGCATGCTGTGGGCTCAGCCCCACTGTACAGTGAGGAAGAGCTAACAGAGTGCGGTCAGGAACGGGGAGAGACATCCGCCTTTTCAGCAGCCAGGCAAAGAAGTACTGGCGAGGAGAGTGGCTCGGTAGCCGGTCTAGAGACAGGTCTGTCTCCTGACCCACACACACAGCCGAGGGGGCTAGTAGTGACGCGGAGACCCTAATTGATGATGATGAGGCTGATCGCACTTGGCAGCCTCGTCGTCATCAGGCTATTGCTTCCGCATCATCAGGAGAAGAGGGTGCCAGCTTGCCAGCGAGCAAAACAGTCGGTGGGTTGCCCAGGAGGCAGCAGGGTCGCAGCAGTGTCAGTGGAGGCAAACGGCCACGGAGTAGAGCACCAGCTCCACTGCAGCCTACCACCACGGCCAGTAGTGGTGCCGGTGTGCACGGAGGAAGTAGCAGTCAGCCAGTGAGGAGTAGCGGGGGCAAAGTTTCCTATTCGGCGGTGTGGCAATTTTTCGTCAAGCCGCCCGAGGAAGTAAACGTAGCCGTATGTCGACTATGTGGCCAGAAAGTCAAGCGTGGCCAGGGGGCCCATGTTGGGACTACAGCGTTGCGTCAGCATATGCAGCGTCGCCATTCGGTGGCCTGGGAAAACCGTGATAAAGATACGGCGGTTCTGCCTGCCCCAGCCCCCGCTCCATCACCCGCTCCGTTACTTGCTCCGTCACCCGACGTCAATCGCCCTCTATCAGCCAGTCAAGGCTCCAACACCTCTGCTGAGGGGAGTTGTCGCTCGTTGGCATCTTCCGCTCGTTCAGATGCTCCTTCTCCTGCTACTCCTCTTCACGGATTCCGTCAGCAGTCTTTCTTGGAATCCGTTTCCAAGAGACAACAGTTTTGCGAGCACGCACCCGACGGTGCAGAAGCTGAACGTCCTCCTGTCCAAGTTGCTGTGCTGCAGTCCCTCCCTTTCCAAGTGGTGGACTCAGCACCTTTCCGAGAAATGATGGCTTGTGCCGAGCCACGGTGGAGAGTGCCAAGCCGGCATTTCTTCGCCAAAAAGGCAGTGCCAGCCCTGCATTCACATGTAGAAGAGATGGTGGGCCAGTCTTTGAGCATGTCGGTCTCTGCCAAAGTGCACGGCAGCGCCGACGTGTGGAGCTGTAACTACGGTCAGGGACAGTACATGTCATTTACGGGCCACTGGGTGAACGTGGTGCCGGCACAGCCGCACCAGCAACTTGGACAGGTCACGCCGCTTTTGCCTCCACGTTTGCACGTCCTTGGTCCAGCAAAGATGTCCGCCTCTACCACCTCTTCTTCCGCCGTGTCCTCAGCCGCCACCCCCGTGCCAAGTCCCATTACCCTACCCGACCGGCATATCACATGTGCAGGGCGCAACGGTGTCACGCTGTGCTGCACCTGGTATGCCTTGGCGAACGTAGTCACACAGGGGAGGAACTTCTGAGTGTAATGAACAGAGAAATCGACAGATGGCTGTCTCCGCGCAAACTGAAAATTGGAACCATGTTGACCGACAACGGAAAGAACATGGTGTCTGCTCTGCGTCAAGGAAGGTTGTGCCATGCGCCATGCATGGCTCACGTGTTCAATCTGGTTGTCAAGCGGTTCCTAAAATCCACCATCCCACTGCAAGACATCCTTAAAATGTCACGTAAACTTTGCATGCATTTCAGCCATTCCTACACCGCAAAGCACACCCTCCTTGAGCTGCAGCGGCAGAACGGAATTCCACAGCATCGCCTGATCTGCGACGTTGCAACAAGGTGGAATTCAACCCTACATATGTTAGACCGCCTTTACGAACAGCAAAAGGCCATCACCGATTTCCTGATGTTACAAGCGGATAAAGGTACTCCCCTGTGTAACTTAGATGTCAGCCATTGGCAGCTCATGCGTGACACCTGCCGCTTGCTCAGGCCCTTTGAGGAGGCCACGCTATTCGTGAGTCGGCAGGACTATGGGATGAACGACGTCATTCCTCTGTTGCACGTCCTGGAACAAATGCTGTTAACAATGGCTGGTCAGGGTGCGGTAGACGTGGCGCACAGATCTCAACGCCACATGACCCCTGTGGGGGCAGGACAGGAAGAAGAGGAGGAGGTAGAGGAGGACATTGGTGCTCAGGAATTATTGAGTGAAATGGGTGGTTTTTCCACTCAGCGGACAGGAGTGGAGGAGCAGGAGCATCTGGTAGAGGAGGAGGAGGAGGAGACAGAGGACCCAGACGCACCGTGGCAGTATGCTGTGGAGATGGAGGCAGGGAGTCCCCTCGCATTCCTTGGCACAAATGGCCCATAGCATGCTCGGTTGCTTGCGTAGCGACAGCCGAATAATAACCATCAGACAGAGGGATGACTTTTGGCTGTCCACCTTGTTGGACCCTCGCTACCGTTCAAAAATGGTGGCCTTTTTCACACCTGCTGAGAGGGAGGCCAAAATAAAGTACTATAAAAACCACCTATGTATCAGTTGGTCTCTGCCTTTCTGCGCCAACGTCCATCCTCAGACACTGTGGGCCCTGTGCGCTCGCGTTCCGCTGCCATGGCAGCAGGGGAGGGGTGGGGTGGTAGGAGCATGGCAGCTCCACCAGCAGCGGCTGCCTCAGTCTGCAGTCGATGATGAGTAGCTTTCTTCACCAGCGCAGTGAGGAAACTACTAACCAGCCGCAGCAGCAGCAGCATCAGGTGGACCTGGAGCAGGACCTCAAACAACAGGCTCGGGCCTACTTGGACAGCACCCTGCCAACCGAGGTAGACAATCCCCTTGACTACTGGGCAACGAAACTTGACCTTTGGCCCCAACTAGCTGAATTTGCCCTTGAAAGGCTGTCATGCCCGGCCAGTAGCGTGGCATCGGAGCGCGTGTTTAGTGCGGCAGGAGGTATTGTAACTCCGCGGAGGACACGACTGTCCACCCAAAGTGTGGAGAGACTCACGTTTGTGAAAATGAATCAGGCGTGGATTAGTCTGGATTTCAAACCACCAGTTCCTGACACAACTGACTAAATCCGCCATGAATCATGCCCCAAACATGTTATTATTTTTAACATAGGCCTCTGTATGGCCTTCAATTTAAGCTGCTTACGCTTCGCCACTCTGCCATGGGCCCCTGTACCCCCCGCCTCCTCTTGCTGCTGCCAGGTCCAGAGTGTGTCATGGGTCCCTGTACGGCCTCCCATTGCTGCTGACTTCATCGCCAGACTCTGCCATGTGCCACTTTCAGGTCTCCTTACACTGCTGGTGGGTTCCATTTTGTGATAGGGTGCTGTATGGCCTTCCATTGCTGCTGCCTCCACCGCCACCCTGCGCCATGTGCCTCTGTCGTCTGCTCACGCTGCTGCTGACGGCTTCCGCTTTTTAACCGAGGCCTGTGTTTGGCTTCCGAATACTGCTGCATCCACCGCCACCCTGCGCCATGTGTCTCTGTCGTCTGCTCACACGCTGCTGACGGCTTCCGCTTTTTAACCTAGGCCTGTGTATGGCTTCCGAATACTGCTGCCTGCCTCCAACCGCCACCCTGCGCCATGTGTCCTGTCATCTGCTCTGCCAAATCCACGCTGCTGACGGCTTCCGCTTTTTAACCTAGGCCTGTGTATGGCTTCCGAATACTGCTGCCTCCACCGCCACCCTGCGCCATGTGTCTCTGTCGTCTGCTCACGCTGCTGACGGCTTCCGCTTTTTAACCTAGGCCTGTGTATGGCTTCCGAATACTGCTGCCTCCACCGCCACACCTGCCCTGCGCCATGTGTCTCTGTCGTCTGCTCACACATGCTGCTGACGGCTTCCGCTTTTTAACCTAGGCCTGTGTATGGCTTCCGAATACTGCTGCCTCCACCGCCACCCCTGCGCCATGTGCCTCTGTCGTCTGCTCACGCTGCTGACGGCTTCCGCTTTTTAACCGAGGCCTGTGTTTGGCTTCCGAATACTGCTGCATCCACCGCCACCCTGCGCCATGTGTCTCTTTGTCGTCCTGCTCACTGCTGACGGCTTCCGCTTTTTAACCTAGGCCTGTGTATGTTCCGAATACTGCTGCCTCCACCGCCACCCTGCGCCATGTGCTCTGTCGTCTGCTCACGCTGCTGACGGCTTCCGCTTTTAACCTAGGCCTGTGTAATGGCTTCCGAATACTGCTGCCTCCACCGCCACCATCTGCGCCATGTGTCCTCTGTCGTCTGCTCACGCTGCTGACGGCTTCCGCTTTTTAACCTAGGCCTGTGTATGGCTTTCCGAATACTGCTGCCTCCACCGCCACCCTGCGCCATGTGTCCTCTGTCGTCTGCTCACCTGCTGCTGACGGCTTCCGCTTTTTAAAACCTAGGCCTGTGTATGGCCTTCCGATTACTGCTGCCTCCACCCACCACCCACCCTGCGCCATGTGCCCTCTGTCGTCTGCTCACACGCTGCTGACGGCTTCCGCTTTTTAACCTAGGGCCTGTGTAACATGGCTTCCGAATACTGCTGCCTCCACCGCCACCCTGCGCCATGTGTCCTCTGTCGTCTGCTCACGC